ATTATAGAGAAAGTAGAAGGCCCTTCTGATTGGGTAAATGCATTGGTTTTGGTACGAAACCCAGATGGCAAATTAAGAATTTGTTTGGATCCTAAGGATCTTCATGATGCAATTAGAAGAGAACACCTACTTTTGAGGAAATTGCGAGTAATTTAGCTGGTGCAACCATTTTTAGGACGCTTGATGCCACAAATGGATTTTACCAGATACCTTTGGACGAGGAGAGCTGTAAATTATGTATCTTTGGGACGTCCTTTGGTAGGTTTAGATTTTCGAGGCTCCCTTATGGCGTCAAGTGTGCACCAGAAATATTCCAAGATCGGTTTAGGAATATTTTTGGAGTAATTGAAGGTGCTGATATCTTTATTGATGATATCATTATATCGAGTAAAAATAAAATCGAACATGATAAAAGGTTGAAGAAAGTTTTAGAGGTAGCTAGAGGAAACAATGAAAGGTTTAATTTAGGTAAGTGTAAGTTTAGACAAAGAGAAATTAAATATATGGGGCATGTTAATAATGTTGAAGGAATCAGTCCAGATTCTTCTAAAATTAAAGCAATTTCTCAGTTACCTAGACCCAAAAATAGACAGGAAATACAACGATTGTTAGGAATACTTACTTATGTAAGTAGATTTATAAAAAAACTTTTCTGATAAAACTAAACTTTTAAGAAGTCTCTTAATTATGAACAACCCTAATTAACAGTACCTACCTAGTAAATATTGTGCATGCAAAAGCGATCAGAATAGGTGCGTGCACGCAATGACAGTTGACAATAGTATAGTTGTTTAGAAATCGAAGCATTGCAGCGGCTAACCGGCATCGATCACGTCATCTAAATACACAAAACTAAACAACCCAAAAAAACATGACTACTATTATTACTACCAAAATATACCAGATTACAGTCGCCGCGACGTTGTCACAACGTGCTTGGGTAAAAATCCATTTGTCATTATTATTGGTAAAATTTCTATAGGCCTGTTGGTGATGGTACAGACCCCAAATTCTTCAGACCAATAGGCCAGCTTCACATCGTTCCTTCTAAAGACGATAGAAAAGGCAATAGATAACTATATCAGATCCACTATATTGGAGAGATCGCCTTTGAACGCAAGTCAGCACGCTCATAGAGCAGGCTTATGGCCATCCCAAGGAAGGTTTGTGGATAGGTTACGCATCTCGGAAAAAGAAATTAATTTTGAATTAATTATTAATTTAATTATATACAAACTCATTCACATTACATAACAACATAACCCAACTTTTTTTGACAACATGAAACAACGTTGCCACGTTTCATTTATTTAGGCTTGCGCATTCAACCGACGTAACTTTGTTATTTTTTGAATTCGAGAACGGATGGACCTATCTTGAATTTAATACCACGTATCTCTATATAAGCCGAATTTGATTGACCTAGATTAGATCGATTTGAGTTCAATTTAAGTGAACTTCTTCTGATCTAGATAGATGATTTTTTTTGTTGATGAGGGTGCATTAATCCAGCTTCAATCGAACACAGTGTGGTTCACTTAAATTGAACCAGATCGATCTAATCCGGTCAATCGAATTCGGCTATAGAGGGGAGGGATATAGGCTATTTTTTATCCCGAAAAAAATGTTCAGTTGAGCGAAACTCTGCTACATAGTTCAACTGGAACGTCTATAAACAGCCTGGGGCGCTCTAGAGCAGCTCTGGAGTGCTTAAAATGCGTCACTGAACTCACTGGCAAGCCACTCTGGTATCGGATGAAAAAAAGATTTTAGACAATCAACAAAAAAATTTGAAAAAAGTATATTATTTCAAAATGTATTTTCACGCTGGCAACGCAGGGGGTCATTAGCTAGTCAAAAATAAAAACATTAAAAAGGAAGTGTTGGAAAATTTCACTTTTCAAACAAGTAAGTTACCTTTGAGGCAAATTTATTGCGAATTTGTCTATTGGCCTTAAACCTTTAGACTTCATGTCTTAGCAATCTTTTATTAGGCGAGATATCAGAATACATTACTTATCACGAGTGTTGATTGTCAGAAAGGGGCACTTTTCTCACGAGTGAGTTTCTATGCGATAAGTAAGAACCCATATTTAACATTGGTACTCCTCAAAATGGTAGTACATAAAAAAGTGTGCAGATAATTAACTAGTCAAGTTGGCTACCATTTTCATTAAGTTCAGTTGATTTGAAATTCAATTTTTGATACCGTTTTTATAAGTTTATATCAATAAAAAAAATTTATTAATATTTATTTAAACCGCAGCATCGTAAAACGCAAAATAGTACTCCAATTCTCTTCTTATTATTTATCGGTATTGTCTTACGGAAATAATAATAGATAATAATAATAGACAATCGGTACGACCCGGTTCCGATGGTACTTTTCTCTGGTTTAATGCCGCAGAACAATCGTTCAGAAAAATCCTTTTTATTGGGAGCGTGTAGAATCTCTCACGATTTTGATTATTTTTATGAAAAAAAAATGTAGGATACTATTTTTATTGTGGCCAAAAATTACAAGTTTTGACATTGAAACAATAACTCTCTTTATTGTGCCACAGATATTTTTATTTTTTTACGCGATCACGCATATTATTTCTGTCTGTTTCTACGCGTTCCTACTTAACTTTTTTCACCTAAGTTTTCTTCCATGGACTTAAATATCGTGCGAATTGTCGTGTAAGTAGACGCCTTGACTTGAAATCAGCAGCACTTTTCATTACTGCACTAGTGAAGTAATAAATATCTGTATGCACTTGTGAAGTAATATAAGTAATAAGCCATTCTGACATTCAAAACAGAAGTCAGATATTTATTAATTTACATAGGTTTGTGCTAAAAGGCAGGCAGAATCAGAATCCTTCAAAATATTTTATTAGTAACCACTAATAGACCTATCTATTTTTACCTGGTATGCGCGGGCAACACGAGGCAATGCCTTTTTATTGGCTAACCAGTACAGGTGTGAGGTATTCGTTTTGCTCGCTGGGCATCTCCTTGTCCTTGTTCATTGCCCATGGTCTGACAAGAATAAAAGTACGGTTGATATTCAACTTGACATAGCTTGACAAGTGACATTGGGAAGTTGTTTGAAATTTTCATTGACAAATACGTTGCAAAACACGCGGTGTTTCTGCTTTTCTTTTTATCCCGTGCAAATAAGAAAGACGGATTACTATACGTAAGTCCAAAATAATTTGATACGTTTTGCCTCGTCTTGCGCAATGAGCGTTTTGTGTCTTTTTTTATACAATGAAGTTTTCGTATTATTACCTCTTTGTCTGGTAAAATAGATAGGTCTATTACCAATAATAATTGTCTGTCGTAATTATTATGACATTCAAATGGTCATTCATCGAATATTCCAGTAGGTATCTTACGGACAAGAGACTGAGGTAACGAAACTATTATGAGCACCTTCATAATTTTGTTTTTTCAAGAAAATTGAAAATCGTTTTCAAAAACACAAAATAAAAGAGGCGCTTGAAGGTAAAGGTACATTTATCAATAAAACTTGCTGGGTTTGAATTTTCTTTCCCAAAAAAATTGTAAATGAATAATCAGATTTAAATATTTAATATTCTCTATACGGTAGCCACACAATTCACATATTTTACATTCATCATTCATAATGTTTGTTTGCATCGTCTGGTGCATCGTGAGTCAGTAAATTAGTGAAGTTTTTTTTTAGCAATGAAAATGTTTCTGTTATCCTAGTATGGGGGCCCAAATCATCAATCAAAAAAATTTTCATCACAATCTAAATTACATCACATAAATTCTTCTTTTCCAATGTCCCCCGATTGCATTTATGCGAAGGATTGTGAATTTGCTACTAAAATCACACAAACAGGAACTGTTTGGCGACTTGAATTGGATGTGATGATGATATATGCGTATGCGTTGACATGTTGACAGTTGACCAAATATTGTAAAATCGTAGCATTGCAACGGCTAACCGACGTCAGTTCCGTTGTCAAAATAACACTGGCACGACCTTGGTCTTGAGTTGTGAACAACGTTTGACCTATGTCGGTCGCGTCGTCACAACAACTCTGGCACAACGTTGGCACGAGCCAAAAATGATTCACCAAACTATCTTGACTTGACCATAAATAAAAAAATAAATAAATAAACTATGCTGGACTAAGGTCGCCGCGTGGTTTTCACAAAGTAATCACCCAATCAACGTCAAAGGTTATACTGCTGCTAAGTTTTATCAATTATCCTCCATGCGAATTACCTTGGAAATTTGGCAAAGGCAAAAATTGATGAGAGTGAATAGTTTTTATCTGGCATAGAAAATGTAGACTGATGTAAAAAAAATTCATATCTATGAAGAAAATGTTCATTTTGGAGAATATAATGAATATCTTTGTTTATATGCACTCGGTATATTTTCAATCGGATTCCAGGAAATCCCTAAAAACCTTAGCTTAAAAGCAGAAAAAATACATCAATTCCTGCGGGATCCTGATTTTTTAGTTAATTAGGTACTGCTAATTTCTATCCCAATCAGCATTAAAGTTAATCTTGTACAGTTTTTTTCTTGCCTAATATCTTTGGATACAAGTTGCATGTTGTATGTTATTATGCATGGTAACTCAAACTATCTTAACATCAATCGAAAACTGCGTGACGGTTAACTGGATTTGTCTGAAATTTGTACTAAGTAGTCATTATTATCATATAAGACATTATTAAATTTGTTCAATCTCAACAATCATTTTTCAGTTTTAATCATCCACAGTACGATAAATGCAACTTCATATATAAAGAAATGCACTTTTACCCAAATCTCAAAACTTGCAGAACCTGTTCTGTACCAATTAGTCATTTTTAATGTAGTATACCCAATAGAGTATATTTAACCAGTTTCGGTACCTACCATTAATTTTTTTTTGAGAAAGTATTCACTTATATGTCCATATCTACTTTTGATTTCTTCATATAAATAAGATATAATTGAATTTGCTCTGATTTCTGCAATTACTTACCTTCAAATAAAAAAATCTATATCCAAGTTACTCCTCTGTATTTCAAATCCAACAAAGTATCACCAAGAAAAAAAAAACACTGTCGAACACGCCAAAAGAAACCCAAAGTCAAAGTATGTACAAGAAAAAGCTTTAGAAAAAAAAAGTTTCACGAATCAGTGTCTTCCAAACAACACCGCTAGTACCTGCGGTACGGTCACGGCACGGGGTACTGACTAGTAGAATATACACGGTCAAAAGTATAGTATAGGATATAGCCGCCAAAAGAAAGAGACGTTCGTTCGAGAGATGGAGTACCACCAAGCTCTCGTGGTGGTACCTACTACTACCTGATGTGAGAAAGCGAACGTCTTAAAGATTTTTGTTTGTCTTTTGGGTATTGACTATGAAGATGGAAAGCAGGAAATCACTTGGTCTGATTTTAAGCAAAAAAAAAGTTGTTGAATAATTGACATTTTTAGAGCAATCTATTGTTGCGTGTGCTTGTCAGGAGTAGGAGATCCTTGTTTTCAAGTATTAACGAGGATTTCTGTGGTAGGTTTGTCTAGATAAACCAAATGCGAAAGCTCATCAAAATGCTAGGTAGGTATACCGACTATCTTAAACCTTGACGCAGTAGACGCACCAACGATTTCGAAAAAAGGCTCTCTTACTTGCCAATCTGGCGTTTAGAGCAAAAAAATGGACTGATGATTCACTTTTTAGTTTCAAATTTTCAATCGATCACGTCTTGACATCAACAGCTTTAAAAATACCAGGAATATTAAAAAGTGTTTGCACCTTTCGGCATAAAATATACACGTGGATAAATGAAACTAGAACAACAAAAATCGATTATTGACTACACTATTGCAAAATGCAATACAGACATCAAACATGAAACTTCAGGATGTGAGAGCAGAGCCTATAGGAAAATCTTCCTCCCTGGGACAAACATCACAAAGCACATAACTAGATCACCGAAATGCAAAAGTAAATAATGGATCATATTCTTTTTTTTATGCCCATTCCAACGAGCTATCACAACGCATATCTTTACATTTGAAAAAAAAAGTTTGGGGTGGTTTTTACCCTTAAGAGAGGGGTAAATTCCATGAAAAGGCCGAAAAATATGCCAAACTAAAAATAAAGGGACGCGTTTTTTTTTTATTTTTCCAGAAAATAAACAGGCCTTCTGATACTGAATTTATTCCATTTGAAAATTCCACCCTGTATATATATCTACATAGTAATACCAGTACATATTATCTGATGCATAATATGTATACAGTGGGTACCTACATAAAAAAATGATAATTGTTTTGCACCAAAGTTTTGCACTAAGTAGTTTTGGCAATTTTTGCCACTCGAATAATGATCATTCTCAAAAGGTTTTTCATCACATTTTCGAAACAATCTGAAATTGGTGTTTTGTGCATTTAGCAAGTAAAGATGGAAGGATTTGTTTATCTCAAAATTATTATACTTACCTAATTGATGAATCATCACTGTGTGACTGAAGTAAGAAAAAAATGGACAAGGGTAATGTAAACAATCGGAATTTTGGTAAGCTTCAGAGAAAAATAGAAAAATAACAAAGTGAGAGCTGTAAACTGCTCATATCAGAAAAAGTTTAAAGGAAAGGGAATCTGTGTTTTTTCCTGAGTATATTTTTTTTCTGCATGCCCCTCCCCCCCCCCCCAGACAAAATTTCGGGCTGCGCCACTGGTCTCAAGTGAATTCAGCCTAATGAGGCTTTAATAGAATAGGTAGCTGAATGCTCTTCAACTTTTGCCAGGCAAAATTGTTTTTGTGTTTTCCAGATGAAGAGTCATGTGATCATGTTCCATATTGTAGCTCAAATGAAATGGTCACGCTTCTAAACAAGAATAAAAAACCTTTCAAAGAAGGAATCACAGGGGGTAGTTTCTCATTTTAGAGAAATCATTAGGGAGTGCAAGCCTCCAAGACAGGAGGAATAGGGGTTAAGCTAAGTTGATCTAAACAACTTGCAAGTGAGGCCAAGAAAATCTAAAAAGATATAATTTGTGTCTTTTCAATATTCCAATATTCCCCTTTAGAAGTCTGGGTGGTCAGGGCCGTACTAAGCAGTACTATGACTTTATTAAAATGTTTTTATTCTATCGCGAATGGTAAACTATCATTTAGTCGACTCAAAACTCGTTGTCAAAGTAACACTTTATTTGAAGTAGTGAAATCGAATAATTTTTACCCATTCATTTGTCGATTTTACCCACTCATACGTCAATTTTACCCACTTGTCCAAATCTTTATAATAATAGACCTATCTATCTATTTTATCAGACAAAGAGGTAATAATACGAAAACTTTATTAGATAGAAAAAGACGCAGAACGCTTATTGCGCAAGACGAGGCAAAACGTACCAAATTATGTTAGACTTACGTATAGCAATCGATTCTTATTATTTGCACGGGATAAAAAAGGAAGGAGGAAAACCGCGTGACATGCAATGTATTTGTCAATCAAAAAGACAAACAATTGAAAATCGATCACTTGTCAAGCTACCTACGTCAAGTTGAATATCAAGCATAATTTTATCCTTGTCAGACCACGGGCAATGAACAAAGACAAGGAGATGCCCAGCGTGCAAAAGGATTACTTCACACCTGTACTAGTTAGCCAATAAAAATGCATTGCCTCGTGTTGCGTGCGCATACAGGTAAAAATAGATAGGTCTATTATAGTGTTTTTGACAGCAATCTGTTGGTTATGTTGCATGATTGACAACACCAGAAATTTGTCAGTTTGTTACTTTGTCAACTTGTCATAATCTATGTAAAATTTTAGCATATTTTAGTCTATGATTTTACTAATTGTAATTAATAAAAAGTTGCTCAAGAATAAAATAGAATATTAAACACGACGATAAAGAAGCTCGTGAAATTAATCCACTCGCTCCTTCGTCGCTCGTGAATCAACAATTTCCACTCACAGGTAAAGCGTCTTTTCACCGTCTTGTATAATAATAGTTATTTATTATACAAGACGGTAAAAAGATGCTTTACCTGTGAGTGGAAAATGTTGATTCACGAGCGACGAAGGAGCGAGTGGATTAATTCCACGAACAGGTAAAGCTTTTTTTACCGTTGTGTGTAATATTCTATTTTATTCTTGAGCCACTTTTTATTTATCACAATTACTGAAATCATAAACTAAAATGTGCTAAATTATGACAAATTGACAAAGTACCTAACAAACTGACACATTTCTGGTGTTGTCAATCATGCAACATATCAGATTTCTGTCAAAAACACTATAAATATTATAAAAGAAGAGAACGAGTGGGTAAAATTGACGTATGAGTGGGTAAAATTGAAGTATGAGTGGGTAAAATTGACAAATGAGTTGGTAAAAATTGTTCGATTTCACTACTTCAAATAAAGTGTTACTTTAACAACGAGTTTTGAGTCGATTAAATGATAGTTTACCATTCGCGATAGAATAAATAACTATTACTTGCACAAAATTTACATATGTAATTGATTTTCTAATCAAACATTTTTTTATAACTTTAGGTTCTGTGTTGTTTTAAGCTGGAGAATTCACACAATTAACGGGTTTTCTAATTTGAATTTTTTAATTTATAAGCGATTTCCTAATATTATGTGAATGCTTGATAGGAAAATCATTGCTTTTCTATTACAGGCTTTTGAGTCTTTTCTAGGGCTTCAAAACGGTATTTAGCTGGAATCGCTAGCGTTTACGGTTTTTGAGAAACTCGAGTTTGAAGTTTTAGACAAAATGTCGACTAAATTTCAAATTTCAAGTTCAAGATCTTAAAACCCCAGAAGTTACTGTAGTATTCTATTTTGATTTTTAAGGTCACGGTTCTGATATTTGAAAAGGAGAAGTTAAGTTGAGAAATAAAAAGAAAACACAGCACGTTTTTCATTTTCCTGAGTTTTAATTAGTTTTATTTAAAACAATAAATTAACAAACAAACAATTAATTAATGCTATTAACAACATCTTAAATAGGACATTTTGGCGACGAGATCAGAAACTACGTGAGCAAGCCGCCCGTATAACATAAAATATAAAAAAAAACAAAAAAACAAAAACATGGATAGCCTCAACAATGTGGAATTTTTTAACCTACATGGCGGAAATGTGGGAATAAGATGGCAGAAATGGTTAAAAAGGTTTGATAACTTTCTAATAGCAGCAGGAATAACCAGCGATGAGCGAAAAGAAGCCATGCTTTTGCACTGTATCGGCGAGGAAGTATTTGATATATTTTTATCACTGCCAGATCCACAAGTTCCCATTGATCCTAATACAAATGCCCCAGTAAACTTAGCAAAATATGACAAAGCCAAATTAAAATTAAACAACCATTTCTCTCCAAAAGTCAACACGGAGTTCGATATTTTCAATTTCAGACAGGCAAAACAATCAGACGAGGAAACAATTGATGAGTACTATGCCAGATTATTAAAGCTAAGTTTAAACTGTAATTTTCCTGATAAAGATCGAGAGGTAAAGTCTCAAATTATACAAGGTACTACATCAACCAAGTTAAGAAGATATGCACTTACAGAGAACCCGTCTCTTAATCAATTTATTGCCCAAGGAAAGGCTTACGAGGCAACTAAGGTATAGTTAAACGAAATGGAAAACAATGTACCAGCTGAAAATGTAAACAGAGTGACGAACTTTAGCAGCAACAAACAAAACAGATTTAATAACAGTCAAACAAGGAACAGAAACAGGGAAGGAAACATAAAAATTGCGGTAACAATTGGCATCGAAATGGAATACAAAATTGCCCAGCTTTTAATATAACTTGTTTCAAATGCTCAAGAACAGGACATTTTGCTACAGTGTGTTTATCGACTCAACAAGGGCCTCAACAACAAAACCCTCAACAAAGGCCAAATCAAATAAAGTCAAGTGACGTGCCACAAACAAGTGGTTATACTAACAAAAGTGCTAAAAACAAAGAACAATCAACAGTGAATTACAATCAAGAAAAAAACGATCAAAATAATGAAGAATCATCATCAGATTGTTCATTTAACCTGATAACAAACAAAATTTCAAGTCTACCACATGTTACTCTATCAGTTAACAACAAAAAGCTTCAATTTATTATTGATACTGGTACATCTGTGAACCTGATAAGTGAGAAAACCTACAAAGAGAACTTTTCAGAATCTCTGCAGCCTGATACAAGTAAGATTTTTCCATATAATAACTTAGAACATTTACAAGTTGTAGGAAAATTTCCAGTAATTATGCAACATAAAAGCAGCTCAATTCAAAC